GTGGCGTGGTGGTGGTGGTGGTGGTGCTCGGCGTGGTGCTCATGGTGGTGGTGGATGGGGTGGTCGTCGTAGTCGTGGTGATTTCCCAAGTTTCCGTGGGTTCGGTGGTCGGCCACCTCGTCACTTCCGGTATTTGATTATCTTCCACTTGTTCGACCGCCGTAGCCGTCGTCGTGCTAACCGGCGACCTGGTCGTTGATAAAACGCTCGTCGTCGTCGTCCGAGGATGATGGTGTTTCCTGCGCGCGTGATAATCCTTCTGGGACTCGACTGGAACGTAGAATGTATTTATCTCGGGTCAGACGGCTGGCCGAATCGACGAATGAGAACATTTTTGTCCTCGAGATACGGTAAACACTGAGTTACAATGACACAGTGATGAAATAAATTGGATAATTAGGGGAAGTATAATACAATCTTTTACGATTATATTAGAATATTAGAATTGAAACACTGGTGATACACTAGAAACCTTCTCATCCTCAAACATAAATTAAAATGTTATTTCGCAATCGACTGATCGATGGTGATCGAGAGCGAGAAGAGCGGAGTTAATGAATTGGGAATTATTATTTGAAGATAGAAGGAATTTAAGTTTCTTGCTCGAATATACTTGTTTCTGATAGCTAGATTTCTATTAAGATTCATATCTGAATAGGAAGAGTAGATATTTAATAAACAGCTCATCTTACGTCAAAAGTTTCTATAAACTATCTGTCTAATTCCCTAAATAAATAAAAAACTAAATAATTACAACTTCGAATTAAAACAAAAATTGCTAATGGGGAACAAGATTAACGACACTTGAACTGAAACAGCAATGCGGTTAAATCGACTTTTTTATATTTTCTGATCATTCCTCCCTCGGAAAATTAACGGTTAAGCTAAACAGAAACGCGACAAATACTATCGATTTACCAAGGATCGAAAGAGTAATCTGATCGCAAAAAGATATTATTGAACATTAAAGGAACCTCCGCTAAGAGAGACGATCCAGTTCTCGAATATCGGGAGCGTTTAAATGCATCTTCCATCGATAGAGGAGAATAACAGGAACTGCCGCAGCCCGAAGGATCATTGAAAACGGACCGGTCCACTGAAAGTCAAACCGAGCACAGCGTCTCGCGTTTCAACGGAATAAATTCGAGCGACGACTGCCGGGGTCCGCGTTAATTTGCATCGATCACGTTTATCGCGACCAGGCGAAAAGGAGGACATCAAACCCCGGCGTTCGACCTACATTCCTATCGGGAATCGGCGAAAGGCGATCGAGCCCCGGTCGATGATGCAGTTAGCGCCCGGCGCGCGATGCACTTCTCCCGGTCGAGCCCGGCAAGTGCAATTTCTTCATATCTAAATGACTTATCTGTCGGTTGAATGCCGGGTACGGCCGAGCTTTGCAACTCGACTCGCGGAACAGATGTAAGATCGATAAAAGCTGCCCGTGTATTTGTTGCCGTGTCGTTCGTTCGTTCGTTCGTTCCTTCTTTTCGACGGATATAATTGCGATTTCTGCGCGGTCGCATCGGCCGCAGTCGTAACGAACCACGGAGATCTCGCGATTGCGGCGGTTGAAGGTTTTTACGGTTTCCACGCGGCAGGATGAAGCATCGGAGCATGTAATTGTGGACATTGTTTCAACGAATTGCAAACGTACCTGGAGAAATGGTTTTCGGATCGGTCGATCGACTGTCGTGCTATGTTATTTCCCTATCGACTGATCGATGGCGATCGAGAGCGAGAAAAGGGGGATGAATGAATTGGGAATTATTTGAAGATAGGAGTTTAAGTTTCTTGCTCGAATATACTTGCTTCTGATAGCTAGATTTCTATGGAGATTCATATCTGAATAGCAAGAGTAGATATTTAATAATCATCTCATCTTACGTCAAAAGTTTCTATAAAAGATCTATCTAGTTCCCTAAATAAAAAGAAATCTACAAAACTCATACACCTATGTTATTTCGCAATCGACTGATCGATGGTGATCGAGAGCGAGAAGAGTGGAGTTAATGAATTAGGAATCATTGAAGATAGGGGGAATTTAAGTATCTTGCTCGAATATACATACTTGTTTCTGATAGCTAGGTTTCTATTGAGATTCATATCTGAATAGAAAGAGTAGATATTTAATAAACATCTCATCTTACGTCAAGAATTTCTATCAACTATCCATCCAATTCCCTAAATTAAAAAACCAAATAATTAAAACCATTAAATCTAATTCCCCAAATAAAAAGAAATCCACAAAACTCACCTAACCGTAGAGTCCCAATATTACCCAGCATCGTGTTCTTGCCACGGAAGGATTAAACGAAACTACACACAAATCATCCAGCATCCTCAAAAACACGAGAGAGCAATCGATCCTCAACCAGCCATAAGAACCGGGTCGGATCTTGGAAAATTCCAAAAAACCTCCCAGCGAGCGTGGAAAAACGCGCAACGGGGGATGCGAGAGCCAGAGATTCGGCGCTGTCATCGGGGAAATATTAATCCTGGCCGGTATTAATCACCGCGGCCGGGTCAGTGCATTGTCCCAAATGTTTGGCGACCCTTCGCGCAAATATTTGATCCCGGCTGATTTTATCGGCGGCGCAAGCAGCCGGCGACGGGAAGGGTTTTCCGCGGATCCCCGATTAAAACGACACGCGGAACCAGCCTGACCGCGGCCCCTATTTGCCAGGAAAATTCCCCTCATCCGGGCCTCGGCCGCGATTTATCCGGGAATTCGCCGCGATCGAAAAACCAATGGCCGCTCGCTCGCGCGTTTCGTTATACCCGCGAGTTTTCGGCCCCGTTAATATGGGAATGGAGGCCGGCGCGCCGGTCGCGCGGATGCTGGCTCTCATCGGCGCGTTTAGCCCGTATAAATTAAACGGGAAACGAACGAACGTGCCGCGAGAAGGTCACAGATAAATTCCATACCGGCTGAAAATCGAGCGGCGATCGATCGATCGTTCCTCTACGATTCGCGGAATCGGGGGGTGATACTTATTTGCGCCGTTCGCGGGGATGAGCGTTCCGCCGAACCGATTCCGCGGAGGATGGATCCGACGGAATTTTCGATTTTTCGCTTTTATTCGATTGAATATAAAGTAACAATTTATTGAGTGGAACTCGTAGGATGGTGGGAGTTATATCCGACGGTTGTCGGGAATTCGACGGTTTAACTGTAACGATATGTTCTCCGGAATCGTTACCGTGATTCTTGGTTTTCTGTTTACAAGTGAAAGACGTTGTTTCTGATTATTTAAGTTATTGATATTGCAGGTATAACAAAAAAACTACCGAGCAATTGGAATTTTTTGGACTAGACTAATTTAACATTGAAGATTTCTAGATTAATTTAACATTGAATTATTTACAATGTTTTATAAAAATTGGAATCGTTCCTTGAGATTCGAAGGAAGTTCTAGTCCTATGTCTCTGCAGATACACGAGTTTAATTGGATATCTTTAGCAAAAACGCCTCCATAATTTAAATACTTGCAAAATAAACATTCTGGGTGAATTTGACCCGTTCGGTGGGTTCAGTGTTAATAAGTTCACGGGTAGGTTTATCATTTTCGACTTGCCGTTCCGC